ACATCCATTGTTCTGTGCGTATATGTTTGTTTGTTTTTTAATATTTCTAGTGCACCTTTCTCATGGAGACTCAAGTTGGATTACACCATTGTTTAAAATGCAATAAAATGGTATCATGCCTACAGCGAGTAGTGCAATAAATGCAAAATTAGAAGACAGTACAATAAAAACAGTGCACTGCATACAATAAACAATGCAATGAAAAGGCAATGCAATGTGGTATGCTCTCCTCTCAGAGCACAGGATCATGGGTCCCAGGAAAAGGTAAGTCCCTGCACCTCTCATTCAGGAATCAAGCTGTGCCCCATGGCATACCTGAGAGCCAGTGTGACACATGTAGTGATTAGAGTGTCAAACCAGGATTTGGGAGACCTGGGTTCGAATCCCCACTCTGCCAGGGAACCCTGCTGGATGACCTTGGGCCAGACACAAGCTCTCAGCCTAACCTGCCTCATAGGATAAAGTGGAGGCATGTAAGCTACTTTGGGTCATGATTGGGGAGAAAGGTAAGGTATAAACGGGATAATAAACAAACAAGCAAAATACTTTGTGAACTGATGCCCCATTTAAGGAAAACGTGTAGCAATACCACATAGGTTATAGGGTTGTCAACATCCAGGTGGGGCCTGGGGATCTCCTGGCATTACCTCCAGATGATATGCGTACATTCCCCTGGAGGAAAAGGCTGCTTTGGAGGATGGAATCCACGGTATTATACCTCACTGAGGTCCCTTCCCTCCCCAAATCCTGACCTCCCTAGGCTCCACCCCCAAATCTCCAGGAATACCCCCAACCTGGAGTTGGCAACCTTGTGGGGGTACGTGACATGTGTATACAACACAAACAAATCAGATTTCAGATTCAGATTTATTTGGTCAATGGCCAGTACAAATCAAAAGATCAGACTATTTACAGTAAAGTAGACGGAGGAATACAAAAGGTCATCCTGCTAGCACAACAGTTGGAATTTACTAAATTTTAAAATCCGTACATAGAATTTCCCGATGGATTTTACAAGCTGCTGAATTTTTCCCCACACAACTAATAGTGGTCTGTTGTGATTAACACCCAATAAAAGCTTCTTTAAAATATCACCATCAGAACAGCCTGGAAACCTTTTAAGCAATGGGGGAGATTATATTTGAGCAAACTTCCTGATAAAAACAACAATAAAACAAAACACGCTCAACTGATTCCACTTCTTCAAAACCATCATGGGGATCTTTTTTTTTTAATCTCCCCTCCAAAACTGCAGAGGGGAGAGCTTGTCATCTTGCCAAAGTAAAAGCTCTCCGTTAGCTGGGTACCTCCAAAAAGGGCAGATAGGTTGTCTGAAATCATAAAATCTGGGATGTTGTTGTCATCTCTTTGTTGCTCTATATAGAACAATCTTTGTACAACCATTGCTTTTGCTTAGTCATAACCCATTTTCAGAGCATTTTCAAAACAAAATCCTAGATTCTACAATTTGCAATGGATGGCCTTCACCCAGAAAGACTGGTAATTATCTCGGAGAACTAAGGGTGTCAGGCCCTGGGGGTTATATGCTAGCTTTAGCCAATAATTGATAGAAGCAAGGCTTACCCTAACTTCCACCATAACCAAACCAGAATCAAGACATAAGCTAGCATTGGAAACACAGCTGGGTACTTGAAATAATGTTCTTAGGAATCTTGATTGAACTTGTCCTAAAGGTGTGAAACAAGAAAAGGGAGGCCCAAGTATTGTCCCATACATTAATTGGTGCAATATATTTGCCTGGAATAACTGGAGAAAACCACTATTCTATAACGTTTACACATTTGGTTGTACTTTTTATAATGTTTATAATGGACATCTTCTAAACACTGTTTTGACTAAGTTCCTAGAATGTTTTCTCTTTGAAGCGACTTAACAGAGCTGTGAAGTAGAAAAACGGACTGAAAAGTCTTTGCTTTATCAGGCTCCTGAGCAACGCTTATCACTCTTTCATTTGAAAAACATGTAAATCCAAGGAATGCAAGAAATAGATAACACACTTTCCTGGAACTAAAAAGCGATTTTGAATATCTTTTTCAACTCAATTTCTCTGTTGATGTTTGTCACCAGTCTCTTAGCAGAGCACTGCAGGAATGACAATAATACAGATCAATGCAGTCTCTCTAATGCCTTCCCAAAGCTCTCCCATAGTTTCTCCCATAGCAATCCCCTAAATATAGAGTCGAAGGCAGATCTTAGGTCAAAAAAGGAAGCACACAACAAGACCGGTCTACTAGTCACAAATTTCTCAATTAGATGTTGCAACATTGGACAATGGCTTAAAGTAGATCTCCCCTCCCTAAAGTGCACTTGTTCTAACAAGGATATCTTCTTGTCCAATCCAGCATTTAAGTCTATCTAACAAATGGCTAACATATAGTTTACCTATAATGCTGAGCAAAGTAGTAGGTCTATAATTAGCTGGGTCATCCCTCCTCCCTTTTTAATAGAATGGTATAATGATTGCCTGCCTCCTGTCCTCTGGAATAAATCCTGTAGAATCAATATATGAAAAAAGTGTGGCTAGTGGTGGTGCTCACCACTCGATGTTATTAATTAGGAACTCAGACAAGATATTATCGATACCAGGGGGTTTCCTTTCTTCAATTGATTTATAAGAACTGTAACTTCTTTTCTGTAACTGGCGGCCAATCTGGTAAATCAGATGTTCCTTGCAAATGGGAGTCCCAAGGGCTCTCTGAGTATATCTTCCGAAAATATGGTTTCCAAATACCGGCCATAATTAAAGAGTCTAAAGGAGAAGAATCCTTAAGAGG